TCTAAGACACTTAAGACCAGATCTTTGTAAAGATAAAACCTATTCACAAAGCATCTCAGCCCTTGAGATAGCTATTAAGGTAAAAACCTTTCCATGTCTGGAAAGAGACAAGAGAACCAACCAATCACACCAATTTAAAAGAATGCATCATAGCAATGGGGTCAACCACACCTCCTTGCTAAGTTAAACGTTTCTGTCCCTTCCTTGGTCAGAATTGCTCTGACAAGTTTCCTAAATGAACCTCAAGCTAGAGCCCCTTGGTAGTATTTCTCAGGCAGAGTTAGGAGCTCTCTGGGAGTGTTTTCATCATGTTTGTGGAAACGGCCCCCGTTGTTGTGCCCTGCAGAAGCTCCACCACTCCTTCTCCTTATTAAGGACCCTCAAACAGATATTTAATAGACCACTGACTAGTGTTTGATGAGATTTTTCTCTTCAGGGACTGCAACTGCTGAGATACTTGCATAACTGTCAAATCAAATCAATCTATCTACTCCAAAGGGAAATATGATTTGCATGCAGGGTTTGAAACACCAAAACAAAATAAACCAGACAACTGGGACAATCACACAAAACCGTGAGACCATAACAAAATGATTAAAACAACGACGAGAGATGAGAAAACTAAGACAATATGAGGTTTGAGGTTGCAAAAAGCACAAATGTGGAAAAATGTAATATCTCAGTTGAGGAAAGAGGGCAGCTATTAATGTGCATACAGTTTTCCATGTTCAGAATATCAATAGTCGTCCACTCAAAGACAACATTCAGGCATTTTCCTTTTCTAGCAGTGACCTGAAGGCAAGAGCTCAAACTCTCTGTACAGGACAATCTATAAGCTGTCTCTTGTTCTTCCTGCCTGTGCAAAGATGTCCATGTCAGACAACAGCAAAAAAGATAAAGATGCTTAAACATCATCAAAGCAGAAAAGCATTTTGAAGAGCTCATTTTCCTAAGTAAAAGATTCTGCTTCAGTTTTTGAGCATCTCAACTGATTTTAAAACACGGTGCCAAAAATATTTGTCGTCATCCACCATCTCGATTTCCTCTCCCTTTATAACAGGCATCTTAGCAGCGAAGGACGACTTTCTGAAATCAATACACATGTCCTTAGTTGTTGCTACATTAAGCAGGATGAGAGACCTGCCAAGCCATTACACAGAGTCCTCCTCCACAGGCCGGTGATCTTATTCCACCTCATCCGTGTAGGCTGACTAACAACCGAATCATCCGCGCATTTTATTATGTGTCTGGTCTCATCATTATTTTGACAGGTGTTCTTAATAATAACACATATAGAAGGTGAGGAAGACCTTGTATGGATCCACATAGGGATTTGATTTAAAGGGATACTGTTAATAGTCACTGAGACATGTTGGTTAAAGGAACAGTTCATCACATGTAGGTGCAACGCTATTGGGATTGATGCATTTATGATGGAGCTTTTATTGTAGTTATTTAATTTTTACCTGAAAAAGACTGCAGATCGAAATGTTGTCCATTTGAATATATTTGTGGTTTGGGTTTTTGTCAATTAAGGAATAGTTTGACATTTTGGCAAATACTTATTCCCATTGAGGATTGACACCACTCTCATGTCTGATGAAGTTGGACCCAGCAGCCAGTTAGCTTAGCTTAGCATAAAGACTGGAAACCGCTGCAACACACCTCTATCTTGTAAATTTAATCCGTACAAAAAACTGAGTCAGGCGAGGTGTTTTCAGTCTTTGTGCTAAGCTAAGCTAAGCTAAGCTAACCGACAGATGGCAGCAGACTCGTATTTACTGGTTAGATATTAGAGTGATGTCCGTCTAGTCTGACTAACTTTGAAGTGTATAAAAGTATTCAGTAAAAAACAGTCTTTTATGTAATCAAGGATCTTTCCTAAAATATTTTGCTGGTGGAACTACTTATGAGCAAGCAGCTGTGTGAGATATTTGGTGGTCTGAATCTTTTAAGTCGTTGCTATCTGATACTGAAGTGAACTGTACATGAAACTTGTCATCAGAAAGGGTGGCACTCAGAGGTATTTCCCTTGAGAAGGGTTTCGTTGAGTCTTTAACAGCTGAAAAACAAAACCCAAATGACTGAAATGCTAATAAAGAAGCCCAGTCAGTCTCAGAGTCAGGCTACAGGCATTTTTGACCATTTGAAAAAGAGTTTATTGTGTCTCATGTCTACTCAAAATACATGTAACATAGCAAGCCATGTTGTTAGATGGTAAATTGTGATATGAAAAGCTTTTAATCTTAAACGGGGGCCCCATGCTGGGATTATAGATTTCTCAAAAACTCACTGGCATCATAAATGAGTCTGTCTCCTCTTACACACACAGGTACACAATCTTTCACCACAACCACTGCACCACTGCACCACAAACCAAGAGGGAAATGTAACCATAACCGCTTCGGCACTTGTTGTATAAGAACTGCCAAAAACACAACTCATGCATAGCTACACACACTATGGGACAAACATCTCATACACAAGCACACACACAAACAAAACAGGTCTGCAGCTGGAGATAAATGGAGTATGGAGGACATTGATGCATGGAGAGTAATATAAACATTCAGATACCAACAGCAGACCTCATGCAGTTCAACTTAATGGAGGGCGCATATACAGTACGTTATGGCTCTATCAGCACAGAGATTAAAAGTGAGAGGAATACATAGAAGATACAGGAGAAAGGTTTGTATATTGTGTGTATGTTGCCCTATTTGTGGAAGAGCGGAAAAATGTGGACAAAGACCGAAAATTACATTTTCACAAATTCTTTGCTGCAAAGTCAGGTTGTGTAAAAACCCAATAAAACACTTTTTTCTAAGTGTTCTCTATCATTATGTTGTTGTCATTTTGTAATTCACTTCTCCTTGTATTCATTTTTAGAGTAAGCTTTAATTAAGGACATGAAATACCTTGCCACAATGGGTGGTCAAACAGTTAGTCTGAAAGGACCGCGATCAAGCACATAACAACTACCACTTGGACCAAGACACCTTAAAAATGTCCGCAATTCACCAGAGATGATTGTGCTGTCGCCATTTGACATGACAACACGCATAATCAAAACCATAAATCACGCAGCGCGCGTGTGAAAAACATGCAAATAAAGTGTGTATTTGTGTGCATCTGTGTGACAATGCTGTACAGTTGCATTAGCAGATGTCGTAGCCTCCAGGCATGGCTGGGTTAATCAACTAGAGGGCCCTGGGGCACACAAAAAAGTGTGGGGGCCCCGACTGACTACCCCTTTCCTCTCACTCGCTGTGTGTGTACCATGTTGCCATCATGTACATATTTTGCCCACAGGCTCAGAAACCAACTTATTGAACGATGGAAAATCACTAAGCTGCAGATTGCACTGTGTCAATTCGTTCAATTAAAGGCACAATATACACAATGTAAGCATATTATTAACCATGGTTCCTAATACAAAACCAAGACTTCAGGATTAGGTAATATTACAGGTCTTTATCATTTCAGTTGACAAATAATCAAATCACCACAAACCAGCCGTCGCACAATGAACCTGTAAGGCCCCAGGAGGTCTGGGGCAGTTGCCCGGTTTGTGTGGTCGCTAATCCAGCTTCGCCGCCGGGGGTTACTTTTACACTATCTGAAACTAAGTAATACACATATACACACACGCACGCACACAAACACCCAGAGATCAGAGAAACTTATCAGCATTTGCAAAGTGAGTTACAGTCTATTTCAATGTAGCCTATTTTGGTCCAGGCTATTAGAACAGAGTAGCAAAGTGCATTCAGTGCTGCATATCAGATGTTCACACAAACTCACACACACACACACACACACACACTCACACACACACACACACACACACACACACACACACACACACCTAACCCAGACCACACTGTATGCATCCCACACCACAATAACACTGAAAAGTCAAACTCAGCCTTCTGCTCAGATTCCAATTTAACTGCATGTGCATTGCTGCTAATGTTAGCTCGGCCAAACAGGTCCACCCCCGGGGGAGGCTTAGTGGAAGAGAAGAGTTGGCAGTCTCGACCCAACCTCACTGTTTGTTACCAGGTGGGATTTTCCCAGGGGTCATATTGACATGCACTCGTCTGAGGGAGTAATAGCAGTAGGACGATCTGGACACAACACAGCATGCAATGAAAACCCCCTTACAGGTGCATTTGGAGTGGCAATTTCTGAAGAAGTAAGGCATCAACTGTCTTCCTGAAGGCACAATCTGGTATTCCTGTCATTATAGAAACCCGTCTGAAGGTCCTCAAGAGATTGCCAGACACTTTTTAATGCTTTCTACTTTGCCTTCATCGTCCATAATAAATTCATTTCAAATCCATATTTACTGCGGGGGTTTTTTTCAGCAGGGTTGTGTGCAGTAAAACATAATACTGTCTATTTTTCTCTAGTTTGTAGCTCACCTTTTCAACTCTCAGACCAGTTCACCAACTTACTCACACTGCTCTTGTGCTAAAGTGATGACACAGTTTCATCAGCATTACATGGTATCAACAAGTGTCCATTGGTGCTCGTGTGTACAGCAAAAACTGTTCAGAAGCGGACGTAGAAAGACACAAATAGATAAGTGGATGACCTTTGCATCGCTCTCTTTTAACACTTCATTCGTTTTCCCCATGTTCCTCGCTCGCCACACTACAGCTCTTCTTCTGTCCGCTCAGTCCCTCTTGTTTGCTCTTCAAAAGCATTCAGAACAAACCGCCATTCACCTACAATCCTCAATACCTTTCTCTCTCTTTCCTGGCTATCATTTCCACTGACACAGACATGCACGCTGTAATAAAAAAAGGAACTATGCTAATTTATTGAATCGTAAAGAGCACAAAGTGCCCCATGCCCCTAAAATAACAAAGACATTACAAGCAAATAAAGTTTTGCATATTAAACTGCAGACTCTCTGCTTGTCCCTAAGCCATTCATTTTCTACCCAGCATGCCTGACTCATCAGAAGACACAATGGGACAAACTTCACCCACCCTTCGCTCTCCTCTTTCTCTCTTTCTCTCTCCCTCTCCCTCTCCTTGGCTTTGCGAGACTTGTGCAGGAGTCCGATCAGGATCACGGCGGCTCGGATGCCAGCCTTCTTGCTGTGGAACCGTCCTCCGGTCTGAGACATGCTGGACGTCTCTGCCGGTGCCACGAGGGGTTCAGGTGACAGACGGTCCAAGGTCAGGCCAGCTCCAGGGTCGCTGGGCTGCAGGACCTGCTTGGTCGTGGCTTTGCGGGGTTCCAGTGTGAGCTTTAGATGTCACAGTCTTTGTTCTGTATGCTGTCTGGTTTTGGAGACAGCTGTCAAGCTTCTGCCAAAGCAAGTATACCTGTTTGATTTCTGGCCCTGCACTGTCTGTTCAGAGCCTCTCCGTCAGACGTTCTGGTGTCTGGACCAGCGATCCCAAAGTTAAAGATTCTGTAGCCACTCCTGGTTTGGCAGGTTGTGAGATCCGATTAAACCTCTGTTCATCTCGGTCTTGGGATCAATGTGCCCTTCTTGTAATCCCAGAGGTCCAGAGTGGCACTGTTGGACTCCAGCTCAAGGTGAACTTCTATCTGCATTCGCTGCATCTGCAGTAAATCTGTGCATCGCAGCTCCATAACACATCGTGGTCCCTGACGAGAGGATGAAGAGTTGCGCTACTGACAGCCTCGTAGACCCTCACACTGTGGCACTGCATCTCTCAGTCTACCTACCTCTACCTTCACACCTCTCCCTGCTGCTCTAACATGCTCTGTTTTTTCTCCTCTGTGTCTGCTGCTGCTCTGCTCCCTCCTTCCTGACTGCTGAGCACCGCCTTGCTCCGTCTGATAGGCTGGAGTTGGCAGAAGGACCGCCTCCTCCTCCTCCTCCTCTACTGTATGCCTCCCTCTATCTCTCCCTGCCCTTGTTTCTACCATGTTAATAATCTTATATTAATCTCCCCGACCTTGTTCTATCTATGCTTGATTTTATGATTTCATTTCTAGGCACATGCATGCACACCTCTCTCTCTCTCTCTCTCTCCCTCCCTCCCTCTCTCTCTCTCTCTCTCTCTCTCTCTCTCTCTCTCTCACTCTCTCCCTCACTCTCTCTCTCTCTCTCTCTCTCTCTATCCCACTGTGTGAAATCTCAATTCAAAACAGGCTTATCAGCCTATTGCCTGCTGTGCTGTTGCCAAGGACATTGGAATTGAAATGTAACCTCACAAAATGCTAGCAGATTATATGACACCACATGGAAAAAATTATAATTTTAACAAATTTGACATGCTCTCTTTTGTGCACAGACAGAAATACATCACACGTTCTTCTCACACTGCATTTCTTGTTTGTTGCCTGCCATTATTCTAGGGTGCCACATCGTTTCTCCTATACGTCTCCAGCTCAAGCCAGAGCCGGTTTCCTCCTCAGCTAGGCAGACAAACACTTCCAAGAATATATTGATCTTAAGCATTAGGTTAATTCTTAGTGCCACCTGTTCTTCTTTCTCTCTTGGTGATCTAATCCAGTGGTTTTAAAAATGAGGTCCGGGGACACCTAGGGGTCCTTGAGATGGTTCCAGGGGGTCCCCAGCAAAAAGGGGAATCATTTATTTTCACAATAAGTAACACAATGACCGAATGTATGAACTTTTGGTCATGGGTTTCATACACTTTCTGTAATAAAACGTCTAAAAACTAAATCCCAGATGGGGGTGCATGGGACAAACTCTTATCAAATCGGGGTCGGTGGTCTAATTTGCGTCAGTTTAAATTAAAGTTCTTGTGAACCACTGAGCTAACCAACTGATTGAGTCAGCAAGTGAGGCAAAGGATAGCTAATTGACTCACTAGCTGCATTCATTCTAGTATCATTAGTTAGCATTATTTGTTCTTTCATTGGTTCATTGTGTAATTGGTCTGACTGGTTATTTATTAAAGGAATAGTTCGTAATTCTGTGAAATACGCTTATTACCACTCTCATGTCTGTAATGTTGAATATGAATTCACAGCCAGGGAACATTTAACTTAGCTTAGCATAAAGATCGGAAGCAAGAGTCTCCACTGGCTTCCTGGTGCCTGTGTACATTTTGATATTCGGATTAAACAGACAAGATAAAGTTCATGAGGGTTGGTAATTGGTGGTTTTTAGCTGTTTTTCTACTTTTTTCCCCCCTTTATATTCTTAACTTGCAACAAGAGAGTATTTCCCAAAATGTTAATACCAGACCACCTCAAGGTGCCACTCAGACAGAACCAGGACATTCTGATGTAGCATTTCAAAATGAAAGCCCTTCAAAATCTGATTCGTGAGCTAACTGCAAATCACATTCATGAGACAATTTGACTAGTTTCAGATGAGATTTAAAGTAAAATCAGAACCTGTTTTTTTTTGTGCACTATTGGAAGAGTAATGAAGCTCTGATTTGTTACTTTGTATCTGTCTTATTAAACAGCTTTATGTACTGTCTTATCTGCATTGATTTCCTTATTTATTTAATGACTTCATGTTGGAAAAGGTTTTGACATTAACGTGGACCATGAAACACTCACAACATAAAACAACTTTCATGTCAAGTGAAAAATAGCCATGTGAATTATGAGTCTCCCGTGGCAGCAAAGATAAAGCTCTGAAGACAGACAAGGACACAGACATAAAACAATACAAGCGACATAAAAGACTGATGCGGCAGAAACACACACAGTGAATCATGTTGCACATCTGGTATATCTCTTCCGGGTGACAACAGTGACAATAGTAAAAGGGTATAATTTTGTTCCATCGCTGAAATGGAGTGTCTCAGACTCATTGTTCAGAGGATAATTAGAGAAATGCATCATCCGAGACAAGAGACAAAGACATCTCAGTAGATGAGATGCTTCAAACAGCAGTCAGGGAATGGATTAAACCCGGGGAAACAGCAGCAACAAACAACAATTAACTGGAAGGTCCCATCTCTCTCCTTGTGCATTGCTCTTCCTGTGTGTGATCAGCTCCATAGCAACCGGACAGCTGCCAGAGGAACGGCCCGTAGGACCCTCAAGGCTGTATCCCTTGACACCCGCCCGATAAAAGGCTCGCTAGATTTTTGGTTACTGCCCTTTGTGGAAATTTTCTTCCAAAAACAGCAGTTTGTGATTTTTGATTGACACGATCTGCAGGTCATGGCTCCCTCGCTCAAAACCACCTGAGGACTTTAACCAACTCCTGTGTGGAGGCAAACAACCAAGCTCAACTGGACGAACAAACGTTCTCTAGAGATAATCTGTAAAAAAAAAATATATACTTCCATACACACACACACACACACTCTCTGCCTCACACACACTTGCAGGGACTCTGCCTTTTCACTAGGGTCCTATCGTGCGTCATCAAGGGGAGAAGTGAGGCACCTGTATCTATTCACTTTCAGACACAAAAACACTACTCACTCTCTTTCAAGCCCCCTCCCCTCGTTCTCTCACTCTCCCACTCACACACCCACAGGTGTGAGATTGTTCCTGTTAGACACCCTAAGGTGTACCAGTACACTTCTGAGCTTGAATAAACATTCAGATGAGATACGGTGTAGTTCAACATGGTGTACCTGTGGGTGGAGGTACATTAAGTAAGACTCAGTGTATGTGCAGGGATTTACAGTAGAAACTCACTTATTTGAGAAAGGCAGGTCCTTTCTCCTTGAATCATCCGTTTTAATTTTCAATTTTAAACACCGTTGCAGGTTTTTTGAGGTCACGAGTCCCCAATCCACACATATCCTCAGATGAGTTTTACAAGAAGCCAAAAAGACACCCTCTTTTATTTATTTGGATTTTTCACATTTTATTTATTAAAACTCTCTCTCTTCCCAGCTTGAAAGTCTACCTACTGTTTCAAAGCATCACCAGCTCTCTTATTTTAACACATTGAGTCTAAAAACATTGGAATCAGCTGATGAAATAAATATAAACAATTGGATTGTTGTTTTTCGCTGGAAAACAGAAAATATTCTCTTTTTTTGTATTGCGTTGCAGCAATTAGTCAGTCACAGAGCAACTTTCCGGCTTTGCGTTTTTACACTGAACCCAACAAGGCCGGCATAATGCCGCCCCAGTGTGTGTGATTTAGATAAAAGAGGTGTGTCTTGTGTGTGTGTGTGTGTGTGTGTGTGTGTGTGTGTGTGTGTAGTCCCACCACGCCAGATTAGTTCAGTTTTGACCATGGTTGCCACTGACCTTTCAATAAGAGAACAGCTATAAGTGACATTTTGTCAATGAATATCTGCACTGCGCTTTGCCTCTGCAAGTGCGCCCTACCTCATGGTGAGCGAGGAGCAAACTTTAAATTAATTTTCATCTGAAGGCAGCTTTACGCAGACGTGGATTCGGCTCTGTTACTTCCTCCGCCACCGCCGCAACAGCGCAAAGTCTTTCTCCCCCATTCCATGTCCGTACTTTCTATACGGAAGGGCGACGCGTAATAATGCCGCAACAATCCCACCTTGAACACGCTGTGTGAAAGGGCCTTCTGTTTGTCCTAATTGTGCATACAGACACACACACACATGAACACTCACACTTGCATTAGCCTCAATGGTGCCAAGCAGCCTTTCCTGTCACTTCACAGCTTCTCAAGTGTCTCCCAAACAAACAGATGCCAGTCTACCAACGTCACCTCTCTTCACAGCCAATTCTATTACAGGACGTCCACACATTATACATTACACACACACACATTACATTACATTCAAGTCTGAAATACCGCTCATAAAAATAAAATGTGGCAGAGCTTTTTCAGACCGTTCACCACACAACATCCTCATTACTTTCCGTTTATCGCTGCTTTTTGTCCTCCTAACATTCCCCTCCTTCAATTTCCCACTCGCTCTTACTCTCCCTTCCTCCAATCAACAGTACTACAAAGTCAACTATAAGAGATTACAAAAACGCATTCAGCAAAGTCAGACGGGTTTTGAAGAGAAACCCATATGAAGTATAACATACATTCTGAATTGTAGTTTATGCAGGAGGCAAGAGTTTTAACGTAATATTTCAGATAACAGAATAAACAATCCTGTTAAACACAAACTCCTCTCTGATCTGCACAGTCAGTGGATTTTAGAGGAAAGTAACCTAAATCTGATTATCCTGAGAGAATATGTTATCTGATCATGTTCGATTTAGATTATCACTAATCTGTAACTCATTACCTGCATCTATTTGGAGTCTTATCCTCCCACCCACGCCTATCTGCCACTTTGTAATACACCTTCTTTTTTTATCTCCCCTCTCTGTGTACTCTTCTCCCTCGTACAGTACATGCTGATCCAGTGTTCGAATCCAGGCCCTGGGAACTACAGAGTGCACTAATACAGTGACACACATTTATGCATACAGATATATGCACAAGTAAAATCACACACATGACCTCGAAAGCAAATGTGCACACACAGACATAAAGTGAAGGCTGTGTCAAGTGATTTATAACGGTGTTTACAAGAAACATAAAACCATAAAACACTCAGCACATGTCATTTATATAATCATTGACGCTTCCTCTTTCTGTTCCACTCACGTCTCATTCAGTATAATTTCCCACTCTAGTGTGTGCGCAGTCAGGTCAGCAGTGGCCTCTTGTGTTTGCTCTTTCAGCTAAAATTAGAAGTTAAGCGACAGCGTGAATTGCCATATCCTTACACGCACTAGGAAGAAAATGACCTGTACTTTGCAAAGACAAGTGTTAACACCAAAACCAGCAATAATTTTTCCTTTTAACAAATAACGCCTGTGTGACCAAAGTACCTGGAGCACTAAATGTTCATTAATCTGCCAATGAAAATAGTCCCCAATAAATTCCCTTCTTGTTCCTCTTTAAATATATATATGTATTTCTTTTGTTTACAAACCTGCAAGGCCCAGCTGTTTTATTAAATGACTTAGTCTTTATAAAAATGACACATATAGTCAATAGGAGAAACCAGGCCTGAGTGCCACTGATAGGCTGGGGAATTT